AGGGAAAGACCATGACACATTCCCTGACATATAAATGCATAAAGATTATAGATCACACAGATTTGTATCATGGATTAATATTATTAACATTTGGAAAGTCATTCTGAGCAATTTGGTAAAACAAAAATTCTGGTTCAATAACAAGTATTGCTTATTTAAAACAAAGGCAACATCTAGAAAATTGTTAAACCGAATAACACAATTGGAAATATAAGTTTCACAATACCTGTTCATGGGTGATAAGTGACCGCGATGATGGAGGTCGGGAGAATCCACTCAGTTGTGCAAGTGCAGCTGCAAGGGCACTCGTTCCTTGTTCATCAATCAGTTTTTGTGCAGTTGGGGTGAAAAACTCAATGGACTCTGGATGAACTCCATTAAGCGTAGCAACAACCTGCTCAGCAGATGACCCCAAAACCTCTTCCATAGCTGGTGGACTAACAAATTCAAACTTGCAGCCAACATCACGTTCAAGGGATTTAACTGTTCTCCTCTGGCTACTGGTGTACAACAGAATGGCAGTACCTTGTTTGCCGGCACGCCCAGTACGACCAGAGCGATGTACAAAAGTCTCGGGATCATTGGGAAGTTCATAATGGATAATCTGAATGAAACAGATAAGACCAATAAGTGTTTGGATATGTTGAGAACAGATAGTATTTCAGTACTACACCAAGGAATTAAAAAGAAACTCCAATTCAAATATAGATTTTAACCTTCTCAAATATAAAATTCTAACTCTCATGTCAGATGAGACTGTTGAGTGAAAAAAATTGAAGAAAATGTCAAATATAGTGAAAATCATCTCCTTAACAAAACAGAAATGATAATTTTACTATGATTAGCACCCAAAACTAAGAATCGACAAATCATACTTCAGAATAAGCCATAAGTTCTAATACAATCTAAATCTAGGGATAATGCATCCCAAACCCAAACTATTAAACCCTAATTTCCAAAAGAAATGATAGCTGAATCCTGAATCCACTATTTAAAACCCCAACCAATCACCAGCCTAAAATTACTCAAGTGTTTTGCTTTATTAGTTCACAGCCTTAGTTGGCATTAAATCTAAACTAACAAATAACAAAGCAGGGATTCAAGCAGCTTCATACAGAACCAACACCGGAGATTAGATTGTCAAATGTAGACACAAAACATCCTTTGGACTTACCAAATCAACATTGGGAATATCAAGTCCACGAGCTGCAACATCAGTGGCAACAAGTACCGTGAATTTTCCTTGCCGGAAACCATTCAATGTTCTCTCCCTTTGATGCTGAGATATATCACCGTGCAGTGCTTCAGACAATATACTATTTGTTAATGCCAATGATACTTCATCAGCATCTCTTTTTGTCTGTGTAAAAACTATAGTCTTCCCACCCTTTGCATATACCTAAAAGACAAAGGAACATTAAGTGAAATTATTGAACCCCCCTCCCAAAATAATTCTTCACAGGTACATCAAAGCAAATGGTACATGACACCATTACAGAATAGCAGCTTGTAAAAATTCCAAAATAGAAAATTAATTGATTAAGTTTTAAATTTGTAACATCTGAATGAGTTATAGACTAATACATTGCCATAAGTTTGTGTTGAGGTGTGAGCATAAAATCCCAAAGACCTAGGAAGTTTACTTAAGAATGCATCTGATAATTTTCGAAACAAACAGATAATGAAAATGATGGATTTGTTAATTAGAGTCGAAAAATATATATTAGATCATCTTTGCAAATACAATATTGTACTCAACAATAACATTTTATCTTATTTGATATAACTTTTGGTTACCTAAACTAGTATCTAGTAATATTATTCAGTATAATGACTAAACATAACCTTCAGAATGTAAATTGAAGAGATTAAGAACATCAAATTAAGACAAAAAAAATAACAACTGGCAACTCACAGTTACAAGATCAGAAAGAATTGTTCGTTTTGAAGTAGCAGTGGCTGCTAAAGCATAAAGTTTTATCCCTTCAGCAAGCTTTTCTTCTTCATCACCAACCTTTTTTAAAAAGAAAAAGAAAGCATCATAATCATGATATATTATCTTCAGATTAAAATGCATCATAATCAAAATTCAATTTACATTCTACAACAACTTAAACATTATAGGGTCAGAAAATGTAAAAGTAATTAAGGCTAATGCTAAATAGAGAGAATTTAAAGACAAGAGCAGAAGCTTCTAGATTGTGATTTGAACCAAACATAGCATAGGATGCGTCAAACAGAGACAGGTTTATCAGCAGAAATTGCACCACATCACCACTAACTTTGCATGTTTGCTTCACCTGAGATGAACATGTTATTCACCTATTCTGTCACATTTAGTAATATAAGCATCTAAACCACACTCTAGAAATATCAAAAGTCAACTATGGAACAGCATTAGATAATATCTTTCATAATTATTTTTGAACCAGGTTGCATAGAACAACACAAACAGAAAATGCATATATACTGGCCAAAAGCACATGTGAATGTAATGCTCTTCATAAAAAAAATCATTGCAAAGTGCAGACATAATATCACTGACACAATGACATGCTGCACTATCCGTTTACACTGCACTCCATAAACAAGCAAGTTATCAATTAACTAGTATATATAATATATAATTAAAGTAGATAAGATAAAAGTAACAAAAATTCACCAAATCAATTGTCAATGGGTTGTCCAAATATTTTCTCGCCAACTTCTTCACCCAACTGGGCATGGTTGCAGAGAAAAGCATGCTCTGTCTCTGAGATGGAAGATTCTCCAAAATCACTTCCACATCCTCCTCAAACCCAACAGCAAGCATCTGATCAGCTTCATCAAGGACCAAATACTGAACCTCACTGAGCTTAAGACTGTTCCCATTTATCAAGTCAATTATTCTCCCTGGAGTCCCAACCACCACGTCCACACCGCGTGAAAGTGCACTCTGCTGGGTAACATAAGAAACACCCCCGTAGACACAAACAGTGTTGAGATAAGGCGCGGATTCCTTTATCTCCTTCTCCACTTGCTTGGCCAACTCCCTTGTAGGCGCAAGCACCAAAGCTCTCGGAAGCTTACCAGACCGCCTGCAACAAAGAATCAAATGCATGACCATCAGCATGATATGTAATCATGTGTATGTCCGGATTCATGTTGGATGATCTAAAATCATGTTAAAATTACCAGCTAGTGAAATTTTAAGTAAACGTCCACATGTTGTAAGGTTTCACGTTGAGAAACTAATTTTTCGAGTCCAAAATTGATTTAACTTTGAGTTGAAACAATTCTAAATAGTTTTTCGAGTTGGATAAATAATTATTTTACTGCTAACTTGGTTTTAGAATAAAAAATCGAAACACTTAAAAATCAATTGGTGTTATATATACATAAAGCAAAGTGCAGAACATGAAGGATGATTGATTACCTGTGAGAAGGTGCAAGTTCATCTTCAGTGAGGCCTTTAATAATTGGAATCCCGAACGCCAATGTTTTACCGGTGCTGGTCTTGGCTCGAGCAATGATATCTCTGCCTTCAAGTGCAGGTACTAACACAGCTCTCTAATGATGCATAAAGAAGGAAATGAAGGTAAACATCGGTAGCGTAATGCAACCCTAACAAGTAAGAAAAAGAAGAAAAGGAACCTGAATAGGGAAAAGGTGCGTAATCCCTCGGGTGCGGAGGGTTTCGACGAGGCGCGTGGGCAAGTGGAGCTTGGAAATGTCGAGTTCGTCGGGGTTGGCGGTTTCGGAATGGGCGTTTTGGTGGAAGTCGTGGTCGTTTGGGTCGAAGCCGTCGCTTAGTCCTTTGAAGGCTTCTTCACTAAGGAGGGAGGAATTGGGCGTGGCGACGGCGGAAGGAACGAAGGTGGGGGTGGGCCTGAGGCCCGCTTTGAAGGTGGAGTGGCGGTGGGCTCTAAGGACGTTGTTGAAGTGGGACTTAGAGTCCAAACATTGGAACCTAAGGGAGGGAGCGGTGGGCCTCTGGTATAGTTCGAGAGTGGGGGTTTGGTAAATGGAGGAGACGCCTATGATAGAAGCCATGTGTTTGTGAAAGAGTGAGTGAGTGAGTGAGAGAAGATGATAAGGGAGGCCACTGAGCTGTGCGGAATGTATGGCCCTTCCAACCTCCACCTCGCTCGGTTTCGTCAAGATATATAGCGTCAGATTATTATATAGATATTTTCATATGAGAAATTGGCCTTATCCAGGGATCTTTCAACCCTACCATTAGCATCATCTATTAGAGTTAATCACACATTAAATTTATTTTACACTAATAATCAATTATATTTTTTAATTATGTCATGTTATTGTTAAAAATAAATGTATTTACAGTAATATGATACAATTAAAAAATATAATTAATTGACAATATAAAAATATTTTACACTACTCTATTAATTTTAATATCTAAATTTATATTAACGGACATGCACGTCCTAACTAAGCTTAAAGCTTCAAAGTCTACCCTCTCCCTCTTTAATACAATCAAAATATCAATAACAATGTTTAGCAAACTTCTCATAACTCACATTTTTCTCTCTCCAATTTATAGGTATAGTTGTTTTATTATTTGTAACATTAGAATGCCTAATAGAACTTCTAAATGTGAAATTAAACATGTACTAAAATTATGTATGATAAAATTAGTCAATTAAAAGCTTATGATAAGTTGAAATCTTATAAACTATACGCTAGAAGTTGAAAAACTGAAAGCAGATAAATTCGTTAAAAGCATGTAATAAAATTAGTTGATAAGTTTGCTAATAAATATATAAATTAATTTTTATAATAAAAGTAACAGAATGATGGGATATACAAAACTTACTTATAAACTAAAAAAGATAAAAATAAGTATTTAAAGTAAATTAATGAGGATAAGATAAATAAATTTATAAACTATAAACTACTTCAAGTAGTTTATGAAAATAAGTTGTAGGTTTTTAAAATAAATTTGTATAAATTCGCATATCAAACAAAATTATTTTAGTCAAATTAGTTTATAAGTTTGTCGAAAAAACTTATAAATCCGTGAATTGACTTATCAAACATACTCTAAGGAATTGTTTGGATAAGTTTCTTTAAAGTATGTTTACTAACAAAAAAAAATCATCAAAAATTCATCTAGACTTTATTTAATCTAATTCTTAATCTCCTTATTACTAGTTTTAGTGGGTTAGTTGTCCATGTTGTCTAACTAAAACACCAAGTCTACTCAAATTTCTAAAAACTGCGATCTTCGTTTATATATAAAACAAATAAATATCTAATTCATAAAAATTAATGAAAATAATTAAATTAGTTTAGGGTTTAGGGTTTATATATATAAAATTAACTAATGTATAATTTAAAATTTTTAAAAAATACTCATAAAATTAGATAGTTTAAATGATAATCATATTTAAAAAACGAGTGATGGAGGAGAGTGAGGTGCACCGCTGCACTAAAAAAGTCAAGACGAAGGACGGGAAGGAGGTGGACGACATTGCTATGGAGATTCAGCCGGTTTCCTCACCACCTATTGGGAGTCCGAAACGCACTTATGCTGAAAGCGTCCTAGCCATGGAAGGCGATAGATGTTCTCTGATTATAATGCACTGTTGAAGGAGATGGATGATTATGCAGAAGTGCCAGAAGAGGAGAGAAATTACACTGCGGAGGAGGAGTTTGATCCTGACCCCTGTCCTATCATCAGTGTTTAACAGGAGGAATTCGAGGAGTGGTGCTCACCTTGGAAGAATGCGCTTGTTATCCATGTGTTGGGTAGAAGAATTTCATATAAGGCTCTGGAGAATAAAATCAATAGAGATTGGATCAAAAAAGGTTCAATGGGCATGATTGATATGCCGAATGATTACTTCCTAGTTCAGTTCACACCGGAAGAAGACTATCGTCATGCCTTATATGAAGGCCCTTGGATGATTGCTGACCACTGCATTCTGGTACAAAGATGGAGGCCCTTATTCACAATTACGGCAACCCAAACTAGAAAAGTGGCTACTTGGATTCGTATCCCTGGCCTCCCCATCAAATTATATAACGATCGTTTTCTATGGCGTGTTGGAAACAAGCTAGGATCAATGCTGAAGATTGACAAGCTAACCTCGATCCACTCACGTGGGAAGTTTGCAAGGATCTGTGCAGAGATCAACCTCAACAAAAAACTGGTTTCTATGATAAACGTTATGGGGCATATCATTAAGCTGGAATACGAAGGTCTTCATGCAATTTGCTTCAAGTGCGGAAAATATGGGCACCGACAAGAGGTGTGTGTTAATCCAATAACCCAAAGTCCTACTCTAAATGGTGACAATGATACAATAAACAAGGGCGCCATGGATTTGGATGATGACGACCAACATGCAGAATTACAGCCCATCCAACCTCGAGCTACACATACTACAGTTGGTGATGCAACGCAAATTGCGGAAGAGAATAATACTGTCCCAGATTCTGAGGCATTATACGGGCCTTGGATGATGGTCAAACGGAAGAGAAAATCGGGGAAAAATACTTTTATCTTGATTTTGAAAAATGATATCGTCCATCCCCGTTATTCTCGGAGTGCAACAGAGTCACATTTAAAACAACCCAACTTTGAATCTCCATTGCCGCGTCAGCAAGAAGACAACAACCCCCGCCCATTTGTTTCCAACGTGGATAATGCCATGCAAGCCAAGCAACAATCCGTAACCAACATATCTTCTCAAGACAAGATCACATCATCCAAAATCCGCAACCCCAAGGCAGGAAGGAATCCACAACAAGCTAGGAAATCCATGACCACGCCCTATGGTCCGCCATCCAAACCCAAAGATAGGTTACATAATTCTCAACAAACTAGGGACGCGGAGATCAACTCCATCGTGATCAACACACCAAACAGTGAACACGCAACCATTGCGAATGCCCATGCTAGCTCCACGTCAAATGTAATTATGACCCAACAAGAAAATACCCGAAGAGTGTTAGAAGGCATTCATTCAGTGACTTCTAACTTTAAGCCTGAGTCCTTCGCAAACCAATTTATGACTAGGATAACTGTACCCGAGGCAGAAGTGCAGGCTTATGCAAAATTAATGCGCCAGCACCTAGACCCGAGCTCCACGAGCTCTTCCAGTGACGCTGCGATGCAAGGCAGAGTTATTGAAATAAATGCAGGTATGTCAGGGGCTTTACAACCCACCAATCCCAATGATTCCTTACGAATTGCCTAAGTTGGAATTGTAGGGGAGCTGGTGGGCGAGGGTTTTCATCCTTGATTAATGATATCATTCATGAATATAAGGTTGGACTTCTCTATTTAATGGAGACCCATATGAGTGGAGAAAAGGCTTTGCGAATAACCCGTCGAATCTCACTTGATAAATGTTTCATGGTGCAAGCACAAGGTCATGCAGAAGGACTGTGGTGTATGTGGAACTCTAGTATTTGGCAGATTAACGTTCTTGAACACTCCACTCAATTTATTCACCTTAAGATTCAAGAGAATGTTTCTCCTTGGTACTGCACCATGGTTTATGCAAGCCCTCATAGTCAAGGGCGCATAGCACTCTGGAGAGATCTCATCCGCCTTGCGAATCTTGTTGATGGCCCATGGATGTTGATGGGGGACTTTAATGCAGTTCTTTTTAACCATGAAAGATCAAGAGGCAGGGGTACATCAGTTCTTAGAGGAGATAATGCATTCCGTAATTGCATAAACCAATGTCAACTTGTTGATTTAGGTTTTAATGGTGCTCCTTTTACATGGCGTCGAGGTAACCTGTTTGAGCGATTAGATAGAGCGTTAGCTTCCTATGATTGGCGAGTTCTATTCCCTGAGGCATTGATATCATATTTCAACCCTTTAAAGTCTGACCACTGCCCAATTCTCCTAAGATTAAGACCAGACCAACCAATGCGGCATTCTAGGAGACCTTTTCGTTTTGAGGCAGCATGGTTAACCCATGAAGATTTCCCCAACATAATTCAGAATGGTTGGAATGCTAAAGATAACTGGATACAGCGGATTGGTCATACGAAGAAAATCTTAATGGATTGGAATAAATCCTCCTTTGGGAACGTATTCTATGCAAAACAAAGACTTCTTAGACGTTTAAATGGAATTGCGCGAGAGCTTTTTCTTGGTCCCAATCATTTTTTTGGAGAAACTCTAGTTCAAGCTATGGTCTGAACTAGACCTTATCCTAAAGCAAGAGGAGATAATCTAGTTCCAGAAATCACGTTGCAAATGGCTCCAGTTGGGGGATCGAAACACTAAATTTTTTCATGGTTCAACCATTATTCGTAGAAGAAAGAGTAAAGTTGAGAGACTTTTAAATGACAGTGATGAATGGACTTCACAGAAAGACGACTCGGAAAGGATGGTGACAAATTTTTATAAAAACTTATTCTCTGACTCAGGTGATGCAACACCCTTCGGTATCTCAAATGCTTTCCCTAAGCTGATGAATGGACTTCACTGAAAGACGACTTGGAAAGGATGGTGACAAATTTTTATAAAAACCTATTCTCTGACTCAGGTGATGCAACACCCTTCGGTATCTCAAATGCTTTCCCTAAGCTTAATAATGATGATATAGCCCTTATAGGTGCACCTATTTGCGATGAGGAGGTTTTAGCAGCTGTGAAACGCATGGGTAACTTCAAGGCGCCAGGACCAGATGGGTTGCAAGCCATCTTCTACAAGTCTCAGTGGAGTATTGTAGGTCCCGCGGTGTGTCAACTAATACATGACATTGAAGTCAACCCAAGCAAGGTTGCAGAAGTCAATGATACACTAATTGTTTTAATCCCAAAGGAGGAAACAGTTACACGTTTAAAACAAATGCGACCTATTGGCCTATGTAATGTCTCTTACAAGATCCTCACCAAAATCCTGGCACATCATCTGAGTCAAGTCATGGAAACTCTAGTGCATCCTAACCAATGAAGTTTCATTCCACACCGTCATAGCAGGGACAACATTATAATTTTCCAGGAAGTTGTTCACTCAATGAGGCGTAAAACCGGTAACAAAGGTTGGATGGCTATAAAAATTGATTTCGAGAAAGCTTATGATAGATTGAAGTGGTCCTTTGTGAAAGATACCCTTATGGATATTGGTCTTCCACTTCATTTTGTTGACATTGTTTGGGCCTGTATAACTTCTCCTAGATTTCGCATGCTTTGGAATGGGGAAGCCTTGGAGGAGTTCAAACCTACCCGAGGAATCCGACAAGGAGATCCGCTATCACCTTACTTGTTTGTTCTATGCATGGAACAACTATTCCATCTTATTACTGCAGCAATTGAGACTCATCATTGGAAACCAGTCAAGCTCTCTATAGACGGTCCTCCTCTCTCTCATCTTGCCTTTGTAGATGATCTAGTCCTATTTGCGGAAGCCTCTTTAGACCAGGTAGAAATTATCCAATCCTGTCTAAACCACTTCAGCGCTAGCTCTGGTCAGAAAGTAAGTATGGAGAAAACTATAATCTTTTTCTCTAAAAATGTCCCTCATACAACCCGTGAAGAGATTAGTTACTCCTTTGGGTTTCAACGTACTGACAACCTTGGAAGATACTTAGGCATCCCAGCCCACCATGCTCGAGTTCGTCGGAGTGGCTACCACGAAGTCATCGAGTGAGTCAATAAGAAGTTAAGTGGATGGAAAGCTACTGCTCTTTCCTTTGCAGGGCGCCTTACTCTGTGTAAGTCCGTGATTGCAGCCATCCCAGCTTACACAATGCAATCTGTGTATCTACCGAAAAGTATATGCGATGAAGTAGATCGCTTATGTCGTAACTTCCTATGGGGAGAGTCTTCCAATCATAAAAAATACCATGCTATTGGTTGGAATAAGATCTGCCGTCCTAAAGAGGCGGGTGGGCTAGGCCTACGATCGATGCGTAATGTAAACACAACTTACATGATGAAGAATTGCTGGAATCTAATTCAAGATCCTCATAAGTTATGGGTTCAAGTAGTTAGAGCAAAGTACAAGTGTAAGAATGGAATCATACCTCAGGTTATGAAGACAAACAAAATGTCTAATCTATGGAAGGGTATATGTGCATCTTGGGAATTAATTAAACCACATATTTGTTGGCGTATTAATAATGGGAGAACTGCGAGCTTCTGGTATAATAACTGGTTGCCAAACCATATGCCAATTATCCATTATTCAAGCTCCTTCATCCCCCCGGTGGAGCTGTTCAAGACGATCCACGAATATACCTCAGGTCAGGGCACGTGGCAGATTGACCACCTCCAATCATGGCTTCCTCAAAACATTTTAGAGACTATATATCACTTCCCACTTCCAACTAATGGCTATGGGCAGGATGTCGTGCTGTGGAGCCCCTCTAAGGATGGAGTTTTTACTACGAAGTCAGCAGTTACAATTGCATCCTCCTCTCATACAGTTTCTCACCCCCCGCCCTTTAAAGCAATATGGAGATGGAATGGCCCAGAAAGGATACGAGTCCTCCTATGGCGAGTGGTGCATGGAAGTCTAATGACAAACCAAGTAAGGGTCGATCGAGGTTTAGGGACTGATCCAACTTGCTCGGTTTGCATGCAAGAAACTGAAAGCAACCTTCACGCCTTAAGAGATTGCAAATTTGCGGCAGAAATCTGGTCTAGAACTTCAGGGGGTTCTCTGCCCAGATCATTCGCTGAAGATAATATTCATGATTGGGTTCATGCTAACCTAAAGGAATGAAGGCCATCTCACGTGAACTGGCCAATACTGTTCGCTGTCACGCTAGACTCCCTTTGGATTAGACGAAACAAAATGATCTTCGACAATTCCTTCTCTTCATCTGAACAGGTGGTAAAGGAAATCAATGCTCGTGTTACGACAATAGTCTCCAGCCACACAAATAATTCTTTTTTGAGTGATCCTTTGTGTGGTCACCAAGATACTCATTGGAGGTTTCCGCCTATAGGTCACATTAAATTAAATGGGGATGGAGCCATGTCAAATGATGGAATCGGAGCTTGTGGAGGGGTTGTCCGTGATTCATCAGGCATCTTTCTACTCGCTTTCTCCAAAAAACTAGGTTGCATTTCAATCCTCAAGGCTGAACTATGGGCCATATATCAAGGGCTTCTTATCATCAAAGACCGCTATTCTAGAAGTCTTATCATTTGCGAATCAGACTTCGCTGAAGCAGTTAAACTAATTGAGGAAGGGTGTGCTCGTCACCATCCTTCCTTTTTGTGTATTCACATTCCTAAAGAAGCCAACATTGTGGCAGATAGGTTAGCTAAACATAGTTTTTGGATAGAGGAGGAGCTAGTAGTATTCTTTTCCTCTCCTAGTTTCCTTCATTTTTTGCTTTCCGCAAACCTTGTTGGTGTTGCTTAATTTTTATTTTCTTTGGGCGTTTAGCCCTTTCTTTTACCAAAAAAAAAATGATAATCATATTTAAGGACATTATTTAAAAGTCAAAAAATATTTTTAACTAATAAATACATTCATTTTCACTAAAAAAAATGAACGGATAACTCATAATAAATTAATTAAGGACATAAATTAAATTTATCAATTAATTAATTTAAATATAATCTTATTTTTTTTATAATCATAATCAAAATAAGATATATATAGAAATGGAGATAGTAGTTGTTATAAATTTATCTTTATGGTCATAATTTGGTATTGTTAGATGAAAATTGGATAATTTAAAATTTATATGCATATTTTAAATATAGTCGATGCGTGTAATTTTTTCTACATAAATTAAATAAAACATTTAGTTTAGTTATTATATATATATATATATATATTAACTTTAACTATATAAAATTCATTGAGATTTTTACTGACATATAAAACTAATGACTTCATGATTTCTGTCTTTGTAAACATAATTTTTAATACATTTTAAATTAGATATTTAAAGAAATATATAATTATAAATATCTTGTTTTATAAATTTAATATTATGTATTATTGAAAAAAAATTAAGTTCATTGTTGACTTTAATAAATTTGAATCCTGAATAATAAAAATTAAAATAGTATGAATAAGATTTTAAGTTGAAAGTCTATTGTTATTATTGTAATTATTATGAATAAAAAAATTATACATAACTATGTCTAATACAACTTGTAAGGTAGTCATTAGATTAATTTTTCTAAAATTAAAAAGATATTCTAACTTTTTTAATAAATGTTTTTTTAAGAAGCATGTAGATGTTCAAATGATAGCTTAAAATATTATGTACATATCCGATTTTCCCAATATTATAACTCATTTTTGTAAACTGAAATAGGTTGTTTTTTTTGTTTTTTGTAAATTATGAAACAAGTGTTTATAATACTGATATTTCAAAATTTGTATTTTTAATTCCTATAATTTTAAAAAGTACTGTTTTAATCTTTTAAATTCAAAATTAATTTTTGTAGTGTCTGTGATTTTTTTAAAAAAATATTATTTTAATATTTTAAGATCACTAATATCAAAATATATTTAGAGGAGTGAAAATAATATTTCTAACTTAAAATTAAAAAATAAATTTTAAATTTGATAGATTAAAATAGCATTTTTTTTAATATTTTGAAATTTAAAAGAAAAAATTTTAAATTAGGAATTAAAAACATATATACACTAAATTTAGTGAACTAAAATATAATTAAATATTTTTTGTAATAACCTGTTTTTATTTTAAAAAATAAAATAAAATTACTAAAATATAAGACTTCACACAAAATATTAAAATAAGTCAAAATTTAGTATAAAGATACACAATCCATAAAATTACTTAAAAAAAATAAATATTTTTATGAAAAAATATTATATACAAGGAAACATGGAAGTTTTAAAATTTGGATTGAATTTAATAATGATAATTGGAGTGCCTAAGGGGGGTGCAAGAAGAAATTAGTGGAAACAGCGTGTGGGCCGGCGTATGCGTATATTAGCAAAACTAAAAAGCATAGCTTAGCTGTTATTGTAGTTTCCAATTGGAGTTTCCTTGGCAGCAAAGCCAGCAAGCAGTGGGCATTATTATCGTTTTGTATCCATTTGCCAGTGAAGCATTCTCGATCTTCCCTTCTCGTTAGGGTTTACGCTTCCTCAATCCTCAATCCTCAATCCTCAATGGGGGTTCTCGTTCCGCTCTTCTTCTACGTCGCCGCATTCTTCTGCACCATTGCAGCTATCGCTTTGGCCGTTCTTCACATCTACAGGCACCTTCTCAATTACACTGAGCCCACCTACCAGCGCTTCATCGTTCGGATTATTTTCATGGTCCCGGTCAATCACTTTTTCATTTCACCGCTTTCACTAGGGTTTTTACTAATTCCACTTTATTACCTGTCATAAATCCAATTGCTTTACTTCAGACCACTTTTCAACTTCTCCACTTTCATCATCTTAATCTTAAAAAGTGGAAATTTAGCTATTCGTTCCGTGCCAACTCTATTTACTGTGTGTTTCGGTGAGAGTGTGAGACTTAGACCTGTTAAATGTTGTTGCAAACTTATGATGAATTTGTAAATTTGATTTTGGTTAAACTCGAGTTTCAAACATGAAGTGAGGTGATCTATGTTTGGAAAGTTTTGTCTCTAAAGCAAGTCTGTAGTGAAATGTTATCTTCCTTGGCAAGTGTACCAAATCGTAGAAGTAGTTCAATGAAAGTGTGAGTATCGTCTCCCAAGGAACTTGCGCAACACTTTGCAATTTCACTTGTTATACTAACTAAGCTACCGAAAAACAATAAGAGTTTGATTTGCTGCCGTAAATAATGTAAACAAGCAATAACAATTCTTTTTGGTATTTTGGTAAACACTTAGGAGTGCAAAACTTGATTCTAATGCAATATTAATAAATTGTTGGGGTTTGACTTCACTAAACCTTCATCTCATGTTTATCACTAAGTTCACAATAGTTATTATTCAGAATTTATCAATCACTCTCAAAAGTAACCAACCCTAATCTCTTACAAGTTGGCATCTAAGTTGCTAACTTAAATTATCAATCTCTTGCATAGTTTAACCAAGAAACCAGCTTAAAACCCAGAGCTTAAGAAAGACCAATGACATTTACTCTATCTCTAGCAATAAGCATCATTAGCTGCTCTATTTCAAGTCAAAGGTTTAAAATCATTTCTCAATCTCTTAAAAACCTTAAGTTCAAGTTAAGGGTGATCAAGCCATAACAAGCATTATGCACAGAAAAAGAGCAATAAAACTGAATAACAACTAATATTGATCACTTAGAGTTTATACATGAGAATGAGTTTAGTTACATCAAACCCCAACAAGGGTGAGATTAGCTAAACATAGACATGTAGAACTCTACAAATGATGAAGAAAGGAAGAAGCTTGATCTTGAAGGTTCCAGAGCTCTCCAGCCGCCACACAAACTCCAAGAATGATTCTCCTTTCTTCTTTTCTCGAAAATCTCACTTTTAGGTCATAAAAACTTTTGTCTTATGTGAATAATGAGATGTCAGCACAATCCACGCTAAGCGTGAGATGTCACACTAAGCTTGAGGATGGGTTTGGAGTGAAATGAGGTTCTGGGACTCCCACGCTCAGCCCCAATTCCACGCTCAGCCTGGGGACTTAACCAAAAATTCCTTCAACTTAAGATTCACCACTTTGTGCTTGACTTCCTTCCTTCTTTCCTAGCTTTCTCCTAAACTACAAAACAACAACCAAATACTTGTAAGTTACCTAAAAACATGATTCAAAGACAAAATGTGATCACCTAACAATTTAGATATGTTTTGAGTTAAAACCAAGGTCTAAAGCAAGGAAAATTGATATAAGTGTTTCAAACTAGGCCATAAACTTAATGAAATCATAACACTTATCATGAAACAGTAATAAATTCGCACCCCTACTCAAAAACTTTTTTTTTTTTTTTTTGCTTCCAATCAAGCTTGATTCTAGGAGATAACAATCAAACATGATTATTTTTTTTGTGCAATCCCATTTCTCAATTCCAAAAGCAAGTTTAGGGAGCATGGACACTCCTCCCGACATGTTGTTACTGCCTGTATTTGATATGTGTGAAGTCTGAGTTCTCCTGTTTCTTGTCAATTGCAGTTACCAGCGCATGTCTAGTTTGTGTGTTTCTTGATTTTTTTTTTCTGGTTTGATTCTTTATTTTCTTCTTCATTTTCGTATCCTGTTCTCTTGAAATTCCACTGGGAATATCTCCATTTTGAGTTCTGTATCATTTCTTTTTATGATTCATTTTAAACAGTTATAAATTTAATTTTCTTTTACAGGTTTATGCACTAATGTCATTCTTGTCCCTTGTATTACCTGAGAGTTCAATCTATTTTAATTCTATCCGGGAAGTGTAAGTTCTTCTGTCTTTTCTCTATTTACTATTTTATTTTGGTTGCTTCTGGTGTTTAGTCTTGAGTTATTTTTTTTGTTCATTCCTGTTCGTTTCATGGCTCACACGTTGTTTGTGATTTGGGTGATTAATCTTTACCAGTGATACATGAATTATATGTTGTTTTTCTACATAAATCATGACTTATGAAGACCCAAGCATTTTTTGTCTTTCTATTCAGAAACTCCTTTGAAGTTGCAATATTGAACTAACCACTCTAGTACCTTACTCTAGACAGGGTCCAACTTCCTTAGATAGAAAAATGTGTAATTCTCCAAATAGATTAATTCTTCATATCTGAAAACATGTCAATATTGGGATACTCATTTTTACCTTGTTATTCAATAACTTCCGAACAATGTTTAAGAAAAGTAATCCTCTTCCATTGTCAATGTGATTGAGGTGGTGTAGGTGATTGCTGTTGCAGCAATGCTTACAAATGCTGTGTGAAGACAATGCTCCCTTTTCCTGATTAGTGTGATTTTATTATCTTGTACCTTCTTTAGTGTATCTGCTACACTTAGTTTTGGAATTTAAGTTCACCCTGCAAATTGTTGGTGTTTGTTCTAAAATTATAATGAACCTTTTCTGATCTATGTTTCTTAATTTATTTCTCTTGCTACTGTTACAGCTATGAAGCTTGGGTCATTTATAATTTCCTGTCACTGTGTCTGGCGTGGGTTGGTGGTCCTGGAGCAGTTGTAATAAGTGTGAGTGGTCGAGTTCTGAAGCCATCATTGTGTCTGATGACCTGTTGCTTTCCTCCTATACCGCTGGATGGGTGGGTTTGTATCTGATTCATATTTTTGGATTAAAATGTTTTATTCCTGAAAATGTTTAGATACTCCTTGAAAACTCTCCCTTGAATTTTCTTTGGGGATATTTTTGAATTACATATTTTTTTGTAACTTTTTATGTGCTAGACCGCTAGAATGATGCATTTACCATACAATATGGAGATTTGTTTCTATGGACTATTGGAAAACAAACTAGACATCTAGAGAAGCTACAAAGTTTGATAGAAACTTCTAACATGGTCACATGATTATATCATAATTCCCGGTCATTGCTCACTTCTAAAACTTCCATTGCAGGCGTTTCATACGTAAATGCAAGCAAGGATGTCTGCAGTTTGTGATTTTGAAGCCCATTTTAGTTGTTGTTACCCTTATACTTTATGCAAAGGGAAAGTATAAAGATGGAAATTTCAGTCCAAAGCAGTCATACTTGTATCTTACGATCATTTATACAATCTCATATACGATGGCTCTCTATGTTCTTGCTTTGTTTTATGTGGCATGCAAGGATTTACTTCAGCCATTCAATCCAGTTCCAAAGTTTATTATAATAAAATCTGTCGTGTTCCTGACCTATTGGCAGGTAATCTTTATACCTCTATCGTTTTTATGTTCTATTATTTTCCCTTATTTTCAACTATATTTTGTCGCTGCCTTGCTAGTTGTATGGTAATGTAGGAAAACAGAAAAAAGAAAGAAAAAAAAAGGTGATATTTTTTGGGTACAATAAGAGTGGCAATTATATTTCTGTTTTCTTGTGACCATTAGAAAGGATGCGAGTGTTATGTAAAATGAGGATGTCTTATTTGATATTTAGAGGAGCTGTCATTTGTTTGGAGCAAAATTTTTTTTAGCTTCCATCTCTCTTTAAAAGAAGGAAAATAGGACTTTTTCACCTTAAATCCTGGGATATAAAATCATATATCCTTATTAAACAGACATTAGATATACCCTGGATTTATGACATCTTTGCTGATATATATACTAGAAGTAGGAATTGGTGTATTAGTTTTCCTCTCAGACACCGACATAATTTAAATTTTAGGAATGGATTTGTTTGTGAAAGTCATCAGTTGTTGTCTTCGTTTCTCAGGTTTTTCTAGTTTGCTTAATGATATAAACTTATTTAAGGCCACTGCTAATGGCATACTAATTAGAAAAATAAAAAAAGAGAAATGACAATCGTGTATGCACACATTATGACATTAGTTTAATAGATTTTCCAATTTTGTTTATAACTTCATCTTATTATTTTTGTTGAATATACAAGCTTGCTATGTTACGGGATCATTTAGAATTTGTAGATGACTATGCAATAGTTTGGTGTTGCTTGATTCTACTCATCTACTGTTTTATGCTTTTCACTTTTGAGGTTTGAAACAGGGTGACCTTTTTTTATATTCATTTTAGGGTGTGTTATTCTTCCTTGCTGCAAAGTCGGGATTCATTAAGGATGCTGATGAAGCTGCCCTACTTCAAAATTTTATCATTTGTGTTGAGATGCTTGTTGCTGCTGTAGGCCACTTTTATGCATTTCCATACAAAGAATATGCCGGTGCTAATATAGGTGGATCCCGTGGTTTGACAGCTAGCCTAGGGCATGCTTTGAAGTTAAATGATTTTTACCATGATACAGTCCACCAGGTGAATTTCACTTTGTATTTTCTATCTGTAGTTTATGGATATTGTTAACATATGGCATTGCACCAGGCTTAATGCCTGGCTTTGCAACTGCTATGCTGCAATGCGTTTCTGGTTCCCTGTGCTCTTGTTGAAATTTCTGACTCTCCTTTGCTTTTTATTTTCTCTGCTGATAATCTGATACCTCTTAAACTCGTGGCAGTTTGCACCAACATATCATGAATATGTTCTCTACAATCACAGCGAAGGTGAGGAAGGAGCAAGGAAGTACAGGTCACGAACTTTTGTTCCAATGGGCCCAGAGATGGATTCTGTGAGAAAAAATAAGCATATGGTTGGAAACAAGTTAGATGACATACAGCTCTCAAGTTTGTCTTCTTCTTCTAACAGTAGCACTCCCTCAAATTCTGGTTCCACACCTGATGCTCCTGATGCTTCAAATTCTGATGCAATGAAATCTTCCTTGCTCGTGGAGATGTCTGATTCTGGTTCTTTACCATATGACTTGACCCTCATCGACTTGGATGTATCCAGTTACCCTGAAGAAGTTCCTGCGGCTGACAAAGCTGGTGCAAGGTGACCATGAGGAATATTTGGAGCTAGATTCAGTGGGAAATATGTTGCCTCTAGAGATTAGATGGGCATCCAACATATTTTCTGTGCTTGGAAAGAACTATGATTGTGGTTTCTTAAATCCTGGGAAAGGAATTAAGCAGATCTTGAGCGACCATACATTTGTGTAAACTACCTTAAAAGTCTAGGCAGCCTCCAAAGCAAAACAGTTCTTGATATGGGTCTCTGCCTTCATACTGTAATTGTCACTAATGGTTGCGTGTCCTGTGTGTAAACTGTAGATATAGAACTTGTTGACATGCCTCGAAGTTAAAACATGAAAGATACCAAAAGAATTGATTTAGAATTATTTGATTCTTTTCTACCATGCACCATGAAGATACTGGTTCTTGTTGGTTTTAATGCTTATTATAATTCCGTTGTCATATTTATGCCTTTTTGGGAATCTCGTTATGTTTATTGTGTTTGAAACTACAGATATTATTGATGATGAGGGTCTTCACAATGACAATCAGTACCATTTCCAGGTCGAAAATTCAATGCATTTTATTTCTTACAATGTTGAAGCTTCCTCCTAACCATCCTTGCCTACCCTACGTCAAGTTATTTGTATTTCGCAATTAAACTCCTGTAGCCAGGCTTTTACTGTATATTTTAATAAATTATACTCCTGGAAAATTGCTTTAAATACTAAACTCTGCTCAGTAGTGCCACTTGTTTGCCATCCTGGGTAACCAGGTCTAGACCTCTAATTTGTCTTTTTTTTTATTTATATATATTTTTAACTTAAAGTAGTTGATGAATTTGAATAATGATAGGATTGAAGGACATGAAAATGCCTTGATGTACGAACTTCAATTGAGATTAGTTTGACACTAATATGCCTGATATTTTTTAGGCCTCAATTTTACTACCCTAATTTGACCTGTTTGGTTTGTCAAGTTAGGCTAAATTGACTTGGTGTTTTTTTTAGGCTTAAACATAAATAATGACTTCTTGTCTTATTAAATTCAAAACACTATTTTTCTTCATTCAACTGATCTCTTCGAGTTATAATACTAATGTTTGAATGTTTTTAATTTTATTTTTATAAAATGACTAAATTTTTATTTTAGTTTTTATAAGCTTTTATTTTTATTTTTTCAAATTTAGAATTATTTTTTTAGTATCTGTAAAATAAACAAATTTTTGTTTTAGTTTACGTAAAATATTTTTCTTTAATTTTTATCTAAATACTATTTTTATCCTTTGTGTTTATTTCAAGTTAGGTAAATATTTGTTTTAAAGATTTATAAAATATTTTTAAAGTGTCATATATTAACAAAATATCACAAATAGTTTTGAGTGCTATCAAAGATGCTCCGAAAAACACATAATTAACTATAATCACATAAAAGTAAAGATTAAAAAAGTAAATTTAAATTTTAGAGAGATAAAAATATTTTTTCTTTATGAAAATCAAAATTAAAATATGGTCAGTTTTAGGCCTGAGCAGAAATTTCGGCCCGCCCGAATTCGAAGTGCCGGCAGGTAAGTTTCTTAGTGCGGCCGGTTTATTGCGGTTTTTTTGGGTTTTCGGGTTGGTAAAGTCGGTTTGTTATGGGTTTTGGTGGTCGGGTTCAGATTAAAAATTTGAACCCATAAATATCCATACCTGCGGTTTTTTTGGGTTTTCGGGTTGGTAAAGTCGGTTTGTTATGGGTTTTGGTGGTCGGGTTCAGATTAAAAATTTGAACCCGTAAATATCCATACCGGACCGACCCAAAACACTTAAAAGGTGTGATATTTATTCTTTTAAAGGTATCAGATCGCGAGATGAGAGAAAACCTAAACCCTAAGCGCTGCTGCTCGCAAAACCTTCTCTTGTGCGTGGGAAGATTCCTGATCAGCTGGAAAATTGTTTGTCTTACCTCGTTGTGAGTATGACTGATAGCCAGCTTGTTCCTTTTACATCTGTACCCCCTCTCCCTTGCTTCCACCAAACTTTTTATGAGCCTGTATCTTGTTTGTGTTTTAGAAATTTGTCTTATAATAATCTCTCTGGAGTAGAGCTGTCAAAACGGGTAACCCGGCCCGGCCCGGCTCACTACGGGTTGAGCATTTGGTGGGCTAACCCAACCTGGCTCATTTATTAGTGAGCTCAAAAAAATTAAACCCAGCCCGGCCCACCACGGGTTGGTGGGTTAAACGGGTTGGCTCACCTATTTTAAAAAAAAATGTAAAACCCTAAACGAAAAAAAAACCAAATTGACAAACTGCTAGCGATGGGCTCACGATGCGTGCGGCAGCTCGCGATGCGCACGGTGGCTTGCGGTGGCTCGCGGCGGCTCACGATGCGTGCGGTGGCTCACGGTGCTCGGTGAGCACGGTGCCTTGCTGTGCGGTGCAGTGCAGTGCAGTGGCAGCTATGCAGTGCGGTGTGGTGGCTGGTGCGGTGTGGTGGCTGGTGTGGTGGCTGGTGCGGGGTGGTGGCAGCTATGGTAGCTGGTGCGGTGTGGTGGCAGCTATGGTGGCTGGTGCGGTGTGGTGGCAGTTATGGTGGCTGATGCGGTTTGGTGGCAGCAACTATGGTGGCTGTGCGTTGCGGAAGGGTGTGTGTGAGAGTGCAGGCTGTGCAGCTATAGATTTTTGAAGTTTAAATTAAAAAAATGAAACCCTAATGGGCTGCAGCCCAATAAGTATAGAGTTTTTTTTTTTTTTTTTTTTTTACGGGTTGGTGGGTTAGCCCGGTTCACCACGGGTTCAACTCGGGTGAGCCGGGTTCAAAATTGGCCCGTACTAAAATTTTCAAATTTTTTTTAGCCCAACCCGGCTCGAACCCGTGGTGGGCCGGGTTGGCTCACCGGGCTGAGCCCATTTTGACAGCTCTACTCTGGAGTTATTCCTTCTGTGAAGCACTTCTCCTCACGGTTTTCAGCTGATAGGTATAGCTCGGAATCTTGCTGGTTTCCTTTTCTTTATTCTCCTGCGTATCATTGACACTGTGTGACCCAATATGGCCCAACCCGATTAACCCATCCAATTAATCCGAGACCCGAAACCCCGAACCCGACAAACCCGAAACACTGTTCACGGTCGAAAATGGACCATTTTTTTTTTGGATCGATTTGGATTGGACTTAATATTTTCAACCCGAGTCCGTCCGAACCCGCCCCGTGCTCAGGCCTAGTCATTTTACATTTACTACAAGTATATTAAAGACTAAAATTAAACATCCATATATTGAATCCATTTAATTAAATTTAGAAAGAACTATCTTTAAACAAATACTTTTTAAAAAAAAATTCAAGAAATAGGTAGGAGTTATTTTTTAAAAAATATAGAAAATTAATTATTTTAAATTTGTTTGAACAAATATAAAAAAAAATTACTTATTAAAAAAAGTTATACTGTTAGATCCATTATAACCACAAATTATACCAAAAGACAATTCTGCACCATTTCTGAATGTGGTCGGCAGAAATTATTATCGTTACTATCAGATATGGAGAGTTGGGCAAAGCACATGGATTTTGCCAACAGATAATTTTATGAAAAGTGGTGATATATATACTTTTTTATTGCTAAAAAAAGTTTACAATAATTAAAATAAGGTTCGAACCCAGTGGTTGGAAAAATGTATGATATATACATACACTTAATTTATATATATATATATATATATATATATATATATATATATAATCTATCAGCCTAAAATAAGACATTTTTTCTTTAAAATATTAAGATGTATTAAGGTTTTGATTTTTTTATAATATATTTTTCAATTTAAAGTTCGAATTCTTAAACAAATGCTCAAGGGATATGATATGATTATGTATTAACTACATGCATCACACATTAATTATCTAGGCATCTCAATATAGTATTTACTAATACTTATTATTTCCTATTACTGCTATTTTATTATTCAGTAATGTTTAACTTTTAAGAAATGAGGTTGACAAATTTTTAGTGGGTTTTCCTCCCAACCAGTGTATTATTTAAGAAATCCGAATTTGGTGTCATTTCAATTCCAACATTACATAATAATTTTTGATATTTTAAAAATTAAAAACATAAATTTTAAATTTTAAAAACCAAGAAAGTATATCCTTCATACTTAGAGGATTAAAAACATAATATAGTCTTAATTTATTTTTTTTATCATATCATATTATGGATTTTATATTTTACACTCATCGTGTGTTTGGGAGCAGAATCCATATGATGGATACAGAATTTAGAAATACGGGCAGGGTAAGCAACTCTCCTAACAGTTATGTTAGCTACTACTTTCTCTCTTGTTAAAATAGAGTTTGGCCCCTTCCATACTTCTATAAAAATCTCTTGTGCTGGTTCCATCAACTTCATCTGTTTTCTTTGCCTTGAACAAGCAAGAGAGAGAAATGGAAGCATCATGGAGCACAAGTGCATGCATAGTGATACTTGCTCGTACTCTAACATGTGCATGGAGGGTGCTGAATTGGCTATGGCTTAGGCCAAAGAGGCTAGAGAGGCTCCTAAGAGATCAAGGCCTTGAAGGAAATCCCTACAAGATTTTGGTTGGGGATTTAAAGGACATTCAGGAGATGCCAAAGGAAGTAATTAACATCCAAACCCATGAATCTTTCCAATCATATAGTGCCGCGTGTGTTTCCACATCTTCAACACATTCTCAACAAACATGGTATTTTATGTCTATGCTTCCTGCTTCTTATTTTAAAATGTCATCATCTATTTGCCTCTTCACTTTTTCTCTTTCCCATCAGGTAATTATCAGCATCATCTATTTGTTCTTTTTGCATAGGGAATCACTTATTTTAAGAAAAATTCTTACCAAAACTATCTCATTCAATAATTTATTTATGTTGTACATTCTTAATATATATAGTAAAACTGTAAATTTATAAAAAAATTTGAAAATTATATAATATTTTATTATATAAATTTAAATTAACATATAAAATATTTTTATGATTATTATTCGTCAATTTAAATTAATAAAATAAAATAAGTATAGTAAGTCAATTTAAATTAAAACATAAAATATTTTTATACATATAAAATAAGTATAGTAAGTCTTATCTTTTATTCATGTTTTCATTTTCTTTTCTTTTCATCTTTAAATTTAAGTTTTGTTACATAGCACGTTGTTGATGGTATGTGTTCCTGTGTTAGAATACACACTTCAATTATCCTTGTTGTAATGGGTCTGGTCTTGGGTCTAGGTCTTCTCGTCCTGCTCCGAGTAGTCCAAAGAGAAGGGAGGTGTCTGCAAAGACTCTCCAACGCTCAAGTAAGTGCTAAACGTAATAAATGCGGTAGTTGAAAGTTAGTTACATACCTCATTGGGGTCTTATTTATAGTGGTTCTTATTGGGCCGTGATTAAGGATTGGGCCCCGGGAGATTAGGGGGTTAATCCGGTGCATTATGTAAATTAACCTCTCTGTAATCACCCTGGCGTAAGTACAAGGCTTGGCCGAGCACACCGACACGCTCTGTTCAGATTGTGAGTGGTCGGTGGGCTCGGGTATTCGGGTCTTCGGCCTAGTCGGCCATGAACTTGGGTATTCGGGTTTTCGGCCTAGTCGGCTATGGACTCGGGTATTCGGCCTAGCCAGTTACCATACGGTATACAACCCCCGCAGTGTCGAGGATGTTAAAGACGAAGACGGTCTAAATGCATAGGGTTGTGGTTCTCGGCGTGGAAGAATAGAGGTTGATTTCGACCGCTATTGATAATGTGCGTGTTCCCGGTGTAGCTGGTTTTCAATGACCTCGATAGTTGTACCGGGACGTTGCATTTATGGTCGTCAACTATCATGTATTACCGACTACTTTAGCCGAAAACGCGATCCTCATTCCAGAGTGACGATAGTGGCCGAGCTCTAAAGTTAAAGGCCGGGTCGGTAAGGCTGGTCTCTAATGGTATGCCGAGACCTCAGACTGATGGAGCCTATGCCGAGACTTCAGACTGATGGAGCCTATGCCGAGACTTTATACATATAAATTAAAACATAAAATATTTTTATACATATAAAATAAGTATAGCAAGTCTTATCTTTTATTCATGTTTTCATTTTCTTTTCTTTTCATCTTTAAATTTAAGTTTTGTTACATAGCACGTTGTTGATGGTATGTGTAAGCAAGAATTCTTTTTTTTGGTTTGGACCAAAAGCAAGAGTGATTAATCAAAGATGTACTTAACAAGATCAATGATTTCCCAAAGCCTGACACGAATCCGTATGTCAAGTTACTAGCTACTGGTCTTTTAAACCAGTCTAAGTGACCCACCATATTATTGTATTGATGAAAGAGGCTTCAATATGACAATTCCTCTCTCAAATCTAAAGTTATTATGTTTTCATAGTGTATGCTTTGTTGTCAAAAAGAAAACTTGATGATAATATTTGACTCGATATAATAGTTTTATTTTATTTTTACTAGTGTCTATGTTTAATTAGTATGTTTTTGTATCAATGCATTACCATATATATTATTTATGAAGTTAACTATTCAAAATACTACATCATGAGTATTTAAAAATTATAATACAAATACTAATAGTCTTTCTACAATAAAATTATACCACAACACAAGATTTATGATATCCAAAAGTATTTATGATATCCAAAAGTAAATATATAATGAAATCACATAAAAGTTTCAACTATATATGATCCAAATGATGGAAAATATTTTTTGTCCAAGTTTTTTTTTATCGTGCCTAATTCTCTCAACTAGTTCCCACAAATAAAGTGTTAATGTCCTAACTCCAACAAGGTACCAAAAAATCCTCTATGGATGTTATTATGAGTAAACTTTATTTATGATGCCAACTTTTAAAACAAAAAGGTGTTGACGAATACCAAACAGTTGCTTTCATATTACACGTACCTTATCCGTAATTCATTGTTGGTTTCTTCATCTTATACTATCAAACTGTTGAAATCTAAATTAAATAACAAAACTTCAACTGATGAACCCCAATTTTTTTTTAAAAAAAAAAATCAACGGAGAAAAATGATGTTTAGTTTCTAAATTAGAAGGTGCAGAATGCAGATCCACGAACAAATGTTTAAAGTTGCAGTGTTAACGTAGAAAGAGGCCAAATATGAGAGAGTTGGTTGCACCTATCCACGTAGTCTCCTGTGTTGATTGGTAAGAACTCAAGGGAAACCAACTCAAATTCGCTTATCTAACTTTTTGAACAATTAAGCACAAACACTGTTATATTGCTACGTCAACCGCGTTGCGTATCATGCATGCATGCTGATTCATTTTACTTCTGTTTTCTCATTAATTTTTCCAACTCGAAAAGCCAGTTATTATTTCTGTGATAACGCACGTAGACATCATCATCTTGTGAAAGCCGTTTTATTATATAGGAAATTAATTTGTTAGATACTGTGTATCGCTGTTGTCACTTGTGTGCAAAGATTAGTAGCCTTCCTTCCATGTATCGTTACACGATACGCTTTTGACCGTCACCAACATTACCAAATAAATACTTTTACATTTACAATCGTCTCTATTTAATAAAAAAAAAGTACAAATTAAATAATATTTTTTGTTATTTAGAAAGCATCCAAATTGAACCATGATGTTCTCTCATTGGACAAACATATATAGGATAAGGGTGGGTCTGATTTAAGGCAAGCATGTAGAGCACGAGAAATGGATGTTACCATGTGATTGTCTTAACTAGGAATTATGAAATAAATAAATAAATAAAAAATTGGTGAAAGCACAAAAGGCACGTGAGCATCCATCTAAAAGAACAGGATCGAAGAACCTATGGAACGATCCACGTGTTAAAGTGCATACTCTTTTACAAGAAGAAAGGGTATAAAGTAAGTTTAATTTGTCTTTAGCTATTGCGGCGGCGCGCAAGTTAACTGGCGTAGGAAGCAACGATAAGGTGCGTAGAATCTCCACAGTTTCTTTTCTATTGTCACCTCTCACACGAAACCGTAACCATTGTTTTCTTTTGCTATTTAATGGCGCTAAATTGTAGAATTGTTTTGTTGTATCTCTGTTTTAACATTTCAGAGCAACTTCATGACACTGATTCGTAACAAGGAGAAGGGTAGCCTTACCCTGAACCTGAACCCATTATTTAGGAGTGAGTCTTTCGGGTATTACTACCCTCATGAGGTTGAGCACAGCCACAGCTACACTATGATGGAGAAGAGGCAGCTTTTTTTGAGAAGCTATCAGTTCTGTCGAAAGAAGAGTCTGAAAGAGAGAGTGAAAGGGTCTTTGGTTCGTGTCAAGAAGGTTCTCTGTTTAAGGCTGCGATCTGCTAAGAGGCTTCCAAGGGTCCTGTTTTCCAGAATCAGAATCAAATGCGGTTTCTATTACCGCAAGAGAAGGTTTTCACGCCTTCTCAATGCTCACACTCACACCCGCAAATTCCACTCTTCCTCTTGTTTCTGCTATACCAGTACCACTTCTCATCACTCCTAACAATTCAGCAAATTTATCTCTTTTTATTTCATAATTCAACAATTCTACTTACTAGTTACAAACACATTGGAAATTGAAAATTGGAACTGGGAAAATATATACTATACAGTATATATAAATTGTTATTCCTTGCAAGTTTATAATTTAAGTTCACTAACTAGTATGGACTACCAAAGAACCAAAAATTAATTCATGCATTGTAATTTGTATGTTTTTGGTTTAATTTGAGTAACATGTTGCGTATTTGGCATTAAATGGTGAGAACTCAGAAGCAAGGTCCGTGCTTTTCTTTTTCAGTATGGGTCATGATTTTAATTAAATTAGTTGCCAATGTCAGAATTCAACACTCACGGGCAACTCTCTGCTTCGTTTGGTGGTTGCTACTGTCCCTAGTTTATTCACTGTCCACGATTAAAAGGTAGTTCAGCAAATAAAGATCCATTTTCAGACGTACATGGGCTAATAAATTTCCAACGACCTGATTTTGTTATAGAATAATAATAACACGACCTATCTAAATTATTTGTTAGACCTGTTTTTTTAAATATTTAAATTATTATTTGATACGTGAAAAGGATCATTTTAAGAATAGTGCATTTGTGTCGTAATTCTTGTACCTTTGCAAATGTTAATACTGACTCCTCTAGTCCTCGAAATGAATTTTAGGTACGTGAATATGATTGGTCAATTGTTTATAAGGCTCCATTCTAAATCCTTACTTCATAATTCATAATTAGGAATTAATAAATTATTTTCTACAGTTCATGAACTCAGCAGCAAGTTGACAATATAGTAGCAAATACAATGAAACCGATAGATGTGAAGCATGCATTGCTTATACTATAAGAAAAGCACTGCTTGTGAGAGAATTGGATCAAAAGAAAAAAAGCAACCACAATCACACAATGGTCGTTTATACTAGTAATAACTTGTGATTTTCTTATGTGTGCTAATTTATGACTATGTTATGAGGTGGGTTTTACTGTTTAAATTAATGTCAAGAAATGTCAACGGCTTTGGCATATTAATTAAGTTGCCAACGGTAACATACATTACATACCACGCGAACGGAACATGCAATTTATTTCAGAGATTCGAGCTGATGCTGAAGGTCATTTAATAAATAGTCTTTAACGGGTAAAATGCCACTGTCACACTAATATAAAATAACGTGCAAGCAATTGCAAATAAGCAAAACATTAATGTAGCAAAAACTTGCTTGATTTCGCTGCTGCGAGCTACTATGGATATATATACTTTTCCAGAATTTATGGCGATTGTTTCTGAATTGTGTTGTGATGATAATTTATTACATATTTGGGAAGAAAAAATATTTTTTTTTCTCGGTCTTCTCAAAAGATTGAAAAGAAAAACTAATTATTTCTTCAAAAGAAAAATGAATTAAATATGAATTCATATTTTTTTAAAACTAAAACGTCAAGAATTTTCTAAAAAATTAAAAAGAATCATAAAATATTTTAATAAGTTATCGATTCTTAAAAATATCAAACTTTTTAATTTAAGTTGATATAACAATACTTTTATTAACTTGATAAAATCAAACATATTTTTATATAATTTTATTATAGTAATGAAATGTTTGCTTATAAAAAAAAGGTTGATAAACAAATGTGTTTGATTTTAATCTTTGAACGTTAATTACGTGGTTAAACTATAATTATTTTTTCATTAAATACAGATACTGAAATCAAATCAAATTTTGTACCGAATAATATCATTTTATCTTTACTACTCAAACAAAAAATACTTTAATGAGATAATAAATTTATTCAGTTTTGTGATTTTATAACTTGAACGATTTTAATTTTAATAAAAAAAAATTGATCATTAACAGCACTCATTGATGAATGACATCTAATCGATCGGGAACTAATTCATGTTGACAAATTTGAAAACGGTACGCCAGGTAATTAACAATCATATTACAGCTGTTTTAAAGATATTTCGCGGTGTTAGCAATAACTTATTATTGAGTTATAATCTCAGCACAGTTATTTTGTCACTTACTGTTGTCATGCAATCAACAACATTAATTTTTTTTAATAAGAGAAGAAAATAAGCATTAATAATGTAAAGTAATCTTATCTATTATCATTAATCACAAATTACTTATATAGTAAATTTATTGATTTTTATGTATTATTTTAAAAATTATATCAATAGTAATTTACGATTAATTCGTAGTGTAATTTTTTTTTATATACTGACACTGTGCATATATATTAAATCCTTGAAAAGTTAGAAAAGAAAAATAAGTGTTATATATGCTATGAGTATATTATGTACAAGCTTGTTAAATTGATTTGGGTTTTTGCTTTATCTCTAGGGAAGGGAGTTGTGTAGAAATTAACAGATATACATTAGGAATTAATTTTGTAATAATAAGATTATTTTAAAAATATATTAAAATATTATTTTGTATTTCAATATTGTAATAATAATAATTAAAATTATATTTTTAGTAATACATTAATAATTAATAATATTAATTTGACAAAAAAAAAATATTCCATCAATAATAATACCTTATTTTACTTACTAAAGTGTTTATTTACAGCCTTACTAAAGTGTTAAAAAATTAAAACAACACAATATTAATTTTACAAAAGAAGAATTTATTTAATGCAAAGCTATAGTATTAGGTGAAAATTATAAGTTACTATTTAATTTGTTTGATTATGTATAATATTAATTATTACATTGTTTATTTAATACTAGTAGTAAATATATATGTTCTCTTTTTCTAGTCAGTATATATAATTTAAGAGTTACTATACTATACTCCGTATATATGAAATACTTTGCATATGTGTTGAATAAATAAAGTGTTCTAATGGTTAGCATGGGTAATAAGTTCAAACCCAACCTTGAATTTCTTTTCTTCTTAATTTTCAAACTTTATTTTTGAGGATTACATCAACGTCACTTTAGCATGCGAGTGTCTCATATAATCTTGACAAACTACTTAAAAGAAATTCATTTTGCTCTACTTATTCATTTTTGCCAGCCACATCATTAGATGAAATTAACGTCACCTAATACCTTTAATTAGGAATTTGAGAGTCAATTAAGTTTTTAATTGTATTTAATTAATTTTAAAAGTACAGAAATTTGATTTGAGCAATTGAAACTACAGAAATTAAAATCAATCACTATTCACTCATTCATAAACTATAAGCAACAAAAGTAAAAATAAAATTTTTTTTTTTAAGAATATAAAAAAAATTAAGAACCTAAGATGACTTAGGGTTTTAGGGGCTGCATCAAGAATACATTCTTAGTCCTTTAGATCTATATAATATTTATTAAGGCAATCATTTTATTATAATAATTCGTGTAACACCCCAAATAATAAAAATGTACTAATGATAATATTAAAATATAAACTTTGTTTCTCATGATAAGAAAATTAGATAAGAAGAGATGTTAAATTTATATAATTAATATTTTTTTAAAAATATATATTTCCTTAAGATAAAAATTAAACTATTCACCTGATGTCCTGATCCTATAATAATTTCTATTTTTGCATTTTAGTTCTTATACAGAAAAATATAAGTTTTATTTTTACAATTATCGTCGTTAATGATATGGTTAATGATATTATTGTGTTTTTTTATTTATGAAAATAGACTCAATGTATTTCATGTAGAATCTATTGATCAATTGAAATCATTGAATTAGCTTGTCTGAACATTAAATTATATTAAATTAACATCACAGTTTGTTAAACTATTTAACATTTGAATGCACTGATTCATTAACCCACTAAATTAAGAAAAATGACTACTTGACTGTTTAAGATATACAATCACTTTTTGACAATCCATCTCAAAAGAAACAGTATTAAGACTTTGATCATGAATTCAAAGTAGTCCTTCAAGTGGTGAGTGTCTCACATTCATATGATTGAGGTATAAAGTGAGAGTAGTGTGTTTAGATTCTAACAAAAATTTCCGTGTGATCTTTATTGTAATTCCAATGCAATTTTTTTTAATCTAATAGTGAAAATTTGTTACTATTTTATTTGATATAATCATCATCGTGATTTAACACCTGCCATCAAATTTGGTAGTTGTTTGACGGGGTCAAAGTTTTATAAAAGTATTAATATAGTAGTCCTTTAATTATATCATTTAATTAACCACTAATATCAAATTTTTTCCTTTTTATGTATTTGGCTGTAAAAAAAAATTATGCATTCATGAGATGATAAGAACTAAGATTTACAGTTTTTTTTTTCTCTTCGTATAAATAAATTTTAAATATTTATCTAATTTAAAATTTAGATCAAAACAAATGAAAAAATTGACCATATTTACAAGATCATCACTATAAAAGACTTATTAAACATAATATTATTTCAAATATATTACACTTTTTTTATTATAAAATATTTTTAATCGAATCACACATACTAATATAAATAATTATACAAGTTAATTTTATTAATTTTATAAAATAAAATCATGATTTATCAATTTTTTAATTAAATTTATTATTCAATTTTTATGAGAGATGGAAATACTATTTCATTTAAAAGGTTATCTACCATTACCAATAAAAAATGATAAATGACGATACGAAAATCTAAGAATTGAAAGAGAAATACATATTTTTACAAATTTTAATAAAAATAAAAAATAAATTAATGCTTTATAAAAAATTATAAAATTTGCCTTATAAAAAAACCAAATTCTTTTAAATTGTATCTTTTAATAAGAAGAAAAAAGAACTATACTCATGACCATGAGGCCATCACGCAACACACAAACGCTAGACTCATGAACATGGAGCTGTTTCAAATATACTACTTTGTAGGAGAATAGCATAAGCCTAATGTTCGTAACTCTACACATGGGTTTGGTGGAAATAAGTGATTTTGAAAGGTCAATCACCGTGTTCAAACGAGTTAGGTGAGAATTAGGTTTCTGGCATATGGGATTATGATCTATAAGTATATACATACCAAATTTCATAGGTTAAAATGATTCAACATGTGTTTTTCTTAATAAAAGACTATGGTCCGGTCTCCGGTTTGAATGTATTTGCAATCAGAAAAACCACTCTATTTTTATATAAACCTATTTGATGAGAAAGATTTAGTTATACATATTAAAATAGTTAATATAGGTGTAAAAAAAAATAGTTAATAGAAAATAATCTTTATAAATTAAGTTTTATATAAACTAATTTAAAATTTATTTATTTTCTTCTTCCAGAATAATTTATGG